CTTTAAAAATTAATAAAAATACTGCACATTTTGTGCCTAGTGGCAAACGCTGCAGCTTAGAAGCTTTGTATGTGTACAGTGGGGGTTCCAGCACAGGTCTTAAAATCTCAAGTATCTCAGTACTTGTCATCAACTCCCATTTTTTGTTTCTGAGCTTGGATCTATTTTGTTTTGTTTTGAGGAAAACTGGACTATTTAGTATGCCCAATGAGTAAATACAATTCTTTGCCCATGTTTGGTTAGAGGCTCTTAGCTTTGATGGTTTTTCTCCATTATAAAGCTCTATTTCGATTATGTGTTACAGAAATTCTTCAAGGTTTCTGGTTCTTTCATAGTACTCTTCTCTGTTTTCCAGTATTGCTAAGTAGCTGTGTACTCATATTTTTTATATCTTCTTTTGTCATCTCATGGTGGGATATTGGACTTATTCTGTTGTTTCTTGCACCTTTAATAGAAGCCAGTCATAGTGTAGCAGGCTTTGAAATTGTCACATCACACCTTGTAGCACCTACATTTTTTGCTTGGAACCTTTGCTTGGAATTTTTTTATTTTGGTTCACTGAAAGAGAACCATGCTTAATGTTTTTATGTTATTGTTTTTGTACTACAAGTATAGAAGTAGACTTGTATAGTTGAAAATTTATGCAAGATCCTGATATAAAAAAGAATTCTTGAAAATTCAATTTTAATAATTGAGAGTTACTTCTTCTGCTAGGTACTGCTAGGCAATGTGTGGGATGTAAAATAAGCCTGTGACCGTCTTTGCCCTCAGGGAGGGTGAAATCCTGTAAAAGAGAGGCTTCTGGTTTGTGAGATAGGCAGAAAATGAATTTGTCCACATTTTCTTTTGGCCTTTTGGACATTGGCTTCTGAGAGAAAGTCTCTGATAGAGATGCTAGCAAGTTCCTCTAAATCACAGAGATCTGTGGTGACAATCACATGAATGCAGTTGGAGCCAAGAGAGAGAGAACTGACTGTGACTTCATCAGTGATCAGTAATATGATAAAAGGTTAGGAAGGTGGGAAAACACCTCCTATATATCAGACACTTAATTATATTGGTTCATTAGAATAGATAATGCCATTCAACCCTCACAAACATACTCCAAAGGTAGAGTATGCACTGTTATTTCCATTTTAAAGATTCAGAAATTGAGGACCAGATACCTTTAGTAATTTGTCCAAGTTTACATAACTAGTGACAGTTGGTATTCAAAACCAAAGCCCTCCTGTACCACATACTATATATTGATGGTAACATTATCCAGAAAAAGAATGTGTTTATCAGAGTATATTCAGCTTGGAAATGCTAAATGGGAAGTCATAAAGAAGATTGATGGAGGTTTACATCTGGAACTAGCCAGGAAAGGGAATATACTATGACTTGAGGGCTGAATTTCTTGAAAGTCCCTGTGAAGCCTTTTGTGTGCCTGTTGTGAGATGGTTGAATGAGGCTATCAAACCCTGATGCATATCCACCTGTTGCCTATTTTTTTTATGTGGCAAAATAAGTATACCTGACTTAAAATTGCCATTTTAAGGCATTAAGTACATTTACAATGTTGTATAGCCTTGACCACTATCCATCTCCAGACTTCTTCATCATCCTAAATAGAAACTCTGTAACCGTTCAGTAATATCCCCACCTGAGCTATGTCTAGTAAACTTTATTCTACTTTCTGTCTCTATAAATTTGCCTATTCTAGGTACCCAGTATAAGTGGAATCATATGATATTTGTCCTTTTGTGTCTGGCTTCTTCACTTAGCATGATGCTTATAAAGGTTCATTTATGTTGTAGCATGTATCAGAATTTCATTCCTTTTTATGCTGAATATTATTCCGTTTTGTATACATATACCACATTTTGTTTATGCATTTATTTGCTGATGGACACTTGAATTGTTTCCTCCCTTAGGCTGTTGTGAATCATGCTGTTGTTAACATTGGTGTACAAGTATTAGTTTGAGATGTTGCTTTCAATTCTTTTGGGTGTATATCTAGGAATGGAATTGCTGGATCATATGATAATCGATATTTAACTTTTTGAAGAAGTATTGTATTAGGGTTCTCCAGAGAGACAGAATCAATAGGTATGTTATAAATGTGTGAGAGGGGATTTATTAGGGCAATTAGCTCACGCATTTGTGAAGGAGAAGTCCCACAATAGGCCATCTGCAAGCTGGATGCTGGCAGTGTGGCTCAGTCCAAGTCTGAAGGCCTCAAACCTAGGGAAGCCAATGGTACCTTTGGTGTAAGTCCTGGAACCCAAAGCTGAAGAGTCTTGAGCTTTGATGTCCATGAACATGAGAGAAGAGTGTATCCCAGCTCCAGCAGATTGAATGATTACCGTCCACATTGAGGGTAGATCTTTTCTACCCAGTCCACTCAGGCTCCTATGCTAATTTCTTCTGGAAACACCCTCATGGGCACATCCAAAAAGATAGCTTTATCAGGTTTCTTGGTGTCGCTTAATCCAATCAAGTTAACACCTAGAATCAAACTCCATAACCACCAAACTGTTTTCCACAGCAGCTGTACCATTTTACATTCTCACCAGCAATGCATGAGTGTTCAAATTTCTCCACATCCCTGCCAACACTTGTTATTTAATATATATATATTTTTTGACAGCCATTCTAGTGATTGTGAAGTGGTATCTTGTTGTGGCTTTGATTTGCATTTTCCTAACGCTTAGTGATCTTGAGCACCTTTTCATGTGCTTATTGGCCATCTGTACACTTCTTTGGATAAATGTCTATTCAGGTCTTTTGCCCATCTTTGAATTGGGTTGTTTGGGTTTTTTGGTTGTTGTTGAACTATAGGAGTTCTTTATGTATTCTAGATATTAATTTATTATCAGCTATATGATTTGCAAATATTTTCTCCCATTCTGTGGGTTGTCTTTTTACTCATGACAGTGACCTTTGATGCACAAAAGTTTTTTGTTTTGTTGAAGTCCATCTTATCTATTTTCTCTTTTGTTGCCTGTGCTTTAGGTGTCATCCAAGAATCATTGCCAAATCCAACACAATGATGATTTTCCCCTGTGTTTTCTTCTAAGACTGTTATAGTTTTAGCTCTTATGTTTAGGTCTTTGATGCTTTTGAGTTAATTTTTTTGTATATGGTGTAAGATATGGGTTCAACTTCATTATTTTGCATGTGGATATCCAGTTTTCCCAGCACTATTTGCACTATTTGTTGAAAAGAGTATCTTTTCCCATTAAATGGTCTTGGCACCTTCATCGAAAATCAATTTACCATGTATGTGAGGGTTTATTTTGGGGCTATCTATTGTATTCTATTTGTCTATATGTCTGTTCTTATGCCAGTACCACACTGTTTTGATTGCTGTAGCTTTGTAGTGAGCTTTGGAATCAGGAAGTGTGAGTCCTACAACTTTGTTCTTCTTTTTCAAGATTGTTTGAGCTATTTGGGATCACTTAAGATTCCATATGAATTTTAGGATCACTTTCTATTTGTGCAAAAACATCATTGGAATTTTGATAGGGATTGCATTGAATCTGTATATTGCTTTGGGTAGTATTGTCATCTTAACAATATTAGTCTTCTAGTCCATGAACACAGGATGTCTTTCTATTTACCTATGTCATTTTTAATTTCTTTCAGCAATGTTTTATACTTCCCCAGTGTGTAAGTCTTTTGCCTCCTTGGGTAAATTTATTCTTAAGTATTTTATTCTTTTTGATACTATTTTAAATGGCATTATTTTCTTAATTTCTTTTTCAGGTTTTCCATTGATAGTGTGTAAAAATGCAACTGATTTTTGTGTGTTGCCTTTGTATCCTGCAGCTTTGCTGAATTCATTTATTATCTCTAATGGCTTTTTTGTAGAATCTTTAGGGTTTTCTACATATAATATTATATCATCTATGAACAGAGATCATTTTACTTCTTCCTTTTAAATTTGGATGCCTTTAATTTCTTTTTCTTGCATAATTTCTCTGGCTAGAACTTCCAGTACCATGTTTAAAAGAAGTGGAAAAAGTGACCATCCTTGTCTTGTTCCTGATTTTAGGGGGAAGGGCTTTCAGTCTTTCATCACTGAGTGTAACGTTACCTGTGGGCTTTTCATATATGGCCTTTATTATGTTGAGGAAGTTTCCTTTTATTCTTAGTTTATTTTTTAATTATGAAAGCGTGTTAAATTTTGTTAAATGCTTTCTCTATGTCAAATGAGATTATCATGTGGGGGTGTTTTTTGGTACTTCATTCTATTTACATTGTTTGATTTTCATATGTTGAACTATCCTTGCATTCTGTGCATAAATTCCACTTGGTAATTGTGCATAATAATCTTGTTACTATGCTGCTGATTTTGGTTTGCTAATATTTTATTGAGGATTTTCGCATCAATATTCATAAGGGCTTTTGCCTTTTTGAAATTATAGTTTTATTGGAACACAGCTGTGCCCATTCATTTCTGTATTGTCTATGTCTACTTTCATACTACAACAGAAGAATGGAGAAGTTACAGCAGAGACCATATGGCTACCTAAGCTGAAAATATTTACTGTCTGGCCTTTTATAGAAAAGGTTTGCCAGCCTCTGGGTTGCACAAATAACTCCCTTTACGCTGGTTCCAGACAGCCCAAGAAATCTTCTGGTTCTCATTTGGATTTCTGTGTAAATGCATCTATAGAGTTGAATGGCCTTGGTGAATAACCATCAATGAATATTTTAGGTCACATGGCAGTTTTATTTCTTATAGTAAGTTAATAAGTTAGTATTCTAGTTTATCCATCATTGTTTGATAACCTATAGATCTTCCCTCAAGAGTATTTCCTTTTGAAGAGAATCAGGTTTCTGAACCCACAAAGCTGAGGGAAGGTTCCTGGAAATTGGAAACCTAACCAAATTGCTGCCTTTGGGAAGCCTTGTCTGGGTATCCGGCCTGCTGGCTTCCTCAAATGAAAACCTAATTGCACTCCTCTGATCTACATAGTTCACATTTCTATTTTTTTCTATCTTTTGCTTCTAGATTTCTTCATCATGCTAAGGAAGAACGATTTCCTCCTTGGTATAGCTGATGATACCATGCAAAAATCAGATCCTTGGAAAGGTCAGAACCTGTAGTTATATATAGTAGAAAAAGAGAACGTATGTGTCACAAAAACACAATTAGAGAATAAAAAAAAGTTTCATCTTTTCCTGCCAGCTCATCCTGAAGTTTTAACAAATCCCATGTGTCGTTTATATATCTCTTTATAGTTTGCAAAGTACTCTTCACATACTTATTGCATATAGTCTTTTTTTTTTTACCATTTTTGAAAATTTTAATTTTTTTATTGTACATGTTTGTGGGGTACAGTTTGTTGTTTCAATACATGCATATATTGTATAATGTTCTAATCAACATAGTTAGCATATCTATCACCTAAACATTTATCATTTCTTTGTGGTTATAACATTCAAGATTCTCTTTTTTGGTTATCTTGAAATATACAATACAATATTATTAGCTATTATCACCCTAGGGCGCCTCATGTAGTCTTCACAATAATATTGTGAAGGTAGGTACTGTTGTTAATCCAGTTTTATGGACACAGTGACAGATTAAGTGACTTATTTAAAATCTTGTAACTGGTATCACCAAAACACAAACAAACCACAATCTTGTTACTATTAACTGCAAACTTAGTCCTAGATCTTTTGCCTCTAAATCTTATCCTTTTCACTACATCACAAGTTCATAATCAGTATCAGAATTTAGTAGACATGAAAGTATGTAAGCTATATAAACATTGGAAATAATGTATGTAAAAGGCTATGAAAAAGCATTAAAACCCCTTTCTGGTTATAAATATTGTTAATAAATCAGATCTTGACATTGAATATCTAACTTACAATTTTTAGGATGATGGCAAAGTCCTCAGTATATCATATACCATTGTCTTAGTATGGCAAAGACGGTTTTTCACAAATTGCTTCCCACCTACTTTTCTATCCTCATCTCACACAGTTACTGTTTTCTCTGTAGCTTACCCTATCCCTTTCCATTTATAATAAACGGCTACCTGTTATCCACACACACTGTTATCCACAGCAATTTCCATGCCTTAGTATCTTTGTGCTATATTCTCTTTGTAAAATTTCTATTCATTTTTCTTCCAACAATCCTAGCTCAACTTCATCTCTGCGAAGCTTTCCTCAGCTCCCCAAAGTTAATCATTGCCTCCTGTTTTCCCAGAGTACTTTGTATAGCAAATCTCCATTACAGCAAAAATCACATTATGATTGTATATTTGAACTGCTTTATCTTCTACAAATCTGTGAGTTCTTTGTCAGCATGGGCTGGGCCTTATTTGTCTTTGTGTCCTTAATACCACACATTATTACTAGGCTTAGGTACATTTTGTTTAATGAATAAAATAACAGTTACAACTCTTTCCTTAAAGGATTTATACACTATTCTAAGCGGGAGACTGACCACATGAGAATACCTAGAAGCTTATAAATATAGGTAAAACAATGTAGTGTATACTTGAGATAGAAAAGTAGAATGATCAGAGCCAGGTAGAGTTATTTAGGGAACAATTCCTTCTAGGTCAGGGGTTAGCAAACTATGACCCACAGGCCAAATCCCATCTGCTACCTGCTTTTGTAAATAAAGTTTTATTGGAACATTGCCATGTTCATTTGTTAATGTGTTATCTGTGGCTCTTTTCATGCTACAGTGGCAGAGTTGAGTAGTTGCAGCAGAGACCACATGTCCCATAAAACGTAAGATGTTTACTATCTGGCCCTTTACAGAAAAAGTTTTCCAACCTCTGTTTTAGGAGATGGGTTTTGAACAGAGGTATGAAAAGAAGAGGAACATGAATTGATGAAGCATGAGTGTGCATCATAACACAATGAAAACTGGCCATGGTAGTAGGTATGCTTGGTAAGAAAGTTCTACTTTTATCCAGTTTGTCAGAGAGAGCTATGTTGAAGACATGAAATGTTAAGAATTGTTTTTGCAATTTGTGGTAATGAGCATGCTGCCAGGATGTATCTGGCCATCACATCTTAGGCACGAGTGGTGACAATTTACTTAGTACCCCATGAATATTCATAACCAATTTTAAAAAAGGTAAATAAATAAATAAGAATTGTTTTGTTTGGATTGAGAAATAGAGAACATAGAAATCTATTGTGAAGAAATTGTCAAGTACACACCCTGGGCCTATAGTAAAATAGTTTTCTCACTAGTAGGAGGCGATGGTGATGATGGAGAAGGAAGCAACAGTACAAATTAATATTGATTGAGTATCTACTATGTGCCAGGTGCTGTTCTAAGTGATATATATATATATATATATCTCATATGAATACATATATGTGTGTGTATATATGTATATATGTATATCCTCACAACTATATGAGATCATTGCTGTTATCTTTATTTTGGCTAATGAGAAAATTGAGGCACAGGGGATTAAGTTACTTAGCCGAGTGTAGTGGGTTGAATTATGTCCCCCCAAACCCATTGAAGCTTGTGTTGTGTCCCCCAAGTTTTATGTATTAGGAACTTAGCCCCCGCTGTGACTGTGAAGACTGTGGGAAATTCTATTATGATAATTGTAAGGTGGGGCCTTGAAGAGGTGATTGGGTTGTAGGATCGTGCAGTCGTAAATGGATTAAAAATGGTGGTCAGGGGCATGGTTCTGGGGCTTTAAAAGAAGAGAAGAGTCTGTCTTTCTCTCTCTCTCTTGCTTTTTCTGCTTCCAACATCTTGCAATGTGAGACCCCTGGATCACTATCACCACCACCAAATGGACTTTGGACTTCCCAGCCTCAGAAACTGTAAGCAATAAATGTCGTTTTTCTTTATAAATCAGCCAGTTCCAAGTATTCTGTTATAGCAACACAAAACGGACTAATACACTGAGGTTATACAACTAGTAAGTGATAAAACCAAATCTGAACCCAGGCAGTCTGGCTACAGAGTCTTCATAATAGAGGAGGGGAAATCTGGAGATATTTGGCAAAAATATCCTTAAGCTCAGAGTAAGGTACTTAGTCCAAGTAATTAGGAAATGTGCCAATCTCACATGGTAAAGAGAAAATGAACAGATCATAGAAGAGTAATGTTGGAAGGCAGAACGTCCAGTTAGAAGAGTATACTATGGATTAGGCAAAATGGGAGGCAAAAGGAGGCAGATAACATTATATAATGAGACATGTTATACAGTCTGTCACTGAGTTTAACCTTAAGACCAGAAGATAAGACCAGAAAGCAGTTAACTTCCTTGCACATATGAAAACTGTCTTAAAATACCTGAAGAACTGTCATACCCAATCGAGATTGAGATTAGAAGTGACTTTTAAGGAGTCAGGGAGCATTCAACCAACACTGCCCCCCAAAACATACTCACCTGCACCTCAAGTATATTACAATTAGTGGAGGTTTCAAATCATGATACACACCATTTTCTCTCATTCTGTTTTGTCTCTTTAAGGGTGCTGATTCCTCTTTAACTTTGTATGACTGCTATGGTAAACAATTATCTCTTTGGACCACTTTTTAAAAAAAAGTATGTATATTGTATGTATGTTAAAGTAATACATATGGACTATGAAAATTTTGCCACAGAAGTATACCAGGTAAAAAGGGAAAGTTGCCCTGCCATCACCATCTTGCTCTTTAGAGAGAACCTTTCTTAAAAGTTTGGTTGTATACAAAACAATTGTTACTCATGGAAGTGTGCCGGGATTCCCTCAGGGTTATTAAGATAGAAAAAATATTAAGAATCACTTTCCTAAGGTCCAGATCCACTGCCAAGAATAAAAGGAACTTCCTGGGGAGGTGTGGGATCTTTATCACTGGAAGTGTAAGCAAAGATTTTGTAGGAATGTTAGAAAGAAGAGTCTCATTGGCTGGGTTGGTTGGAGACAGGGAGGAGGAGACATTAAACTAAATGACATTTAACATTCCTTCCAAACCTATACTTCTGTGTTATACCAGCAGACGGATTACCAAGCACAAAGGAAAAGGCTCCAGTGTGACTTTGACATGGTTAACTTGAGTGTTGGACAAAGTGATATAAGACAAAATCCGATATATAAAATCCAAATTTATAAAACATTACTTTGCAATAAACATTGAACTTATTTTTATAAAGATTCCTTTTAACTAACTAACCATCTTGACATACTCAAAATATACTTTCTTATAAAAAAATTTCATTTACACTTAACTTTTCAGGACTGTATTACTGTGTAAAATAAAGCGGGCACACATTATTCATTATTTCAATGAAGGAAGAGATTCAGACTATCTGCCAAATTGTTGTAGTAGATACAAAGGAAATAAGTCAGCTGGACCCTGCTTTTATTGCCACATAGACTCACAATATCATAGAACTTAAAAGGGACCTTAGAGATAGCGTGTATAAAGTTCCTACCACAGTGCCAGTAAATGGTAGATGAAGCAGCAGAAGGGAAAGAAGCAGCAGCAGCAAAAGAGGATGTTATTTCTTCTGCCCACATATCCTACTTCTGTAAGCCTTAAGGGAGAAAATTGGAATTATACACACACACACACACACACACTGTCCATACTGTAAAACTTGACGTCACAGTGTTGTTTGTAATGATAAAACAAGGACTCAGATTTGGAATCTTGTATTTGGAAGAGACTTTAAAGGTTACCCAGTCCAGCCTCCCTCTTCGTCCCAATGATTTAATATATTCACTAAGAATTTATCTTACTTCTACTTCTACACCTCAGTGATGGCAAATTCACACTTTTCTTTCTCAGAGAGCTTATTTCACTTTTGTATACCTCTGACTAGAAAGTTCTTCCTAGTAATGTGCCTATCTACCTGTAGCTTCCACTTACTAGTCCTAATTCTCTCCCTGGGGGTCATGTTGAACAAGTAGAACAAATCTCATCTCTTCTCTGCATGAGAACCCTCCAGATATTTTCAAACAGCTCTTGTGTTTCCCCTGAGTCTTCTCTTCTCCTGGTTAAACTTCCCTAGTTTCTTAAACCCTCACTCTTCTTGTTCCTTTCCTTTAAATGAGATTGTGCGCCTGTATCTCATTTAGAGTATAAGACCTAGATTTGAACATAAAACTGTACCTCCAATGTGTTGTGACTGGCAGAGAGTAGAGCATGCAGGACTGTCATCTCCTTTATTTCAAATACTGCATGAAATGATAATAATGATGATACAGCATTACTTATTTCATGACATCAGATCCATATATGTCTGCCAGGAAGTATGATGTGACACAATTGGAACCACTAAACTACTCTGTTCAAGAAGCATGAACCAGAAGCATACTGAAAAGCATCAGCTTCTCTAATGCTCTGGATTACACCTTGTAAGTCTTTTGAAAGCATAAAAATTATAAGTAATTGAAGTCTACTAGGACCAACTGTAGGAAAAAGGGAGTCAGTCCTTCTCTGCATTTTCATTAGCCATTCATTACTAGCTGCCTTGCTTGCTAAAGGAAATATTGATGTTCTCTGGGGTTCTTCTCTCTGTATGCACACACAGAGATGTGTATTTACTACAAAGCAAGTGTAGGGAGGGACAATGACCAAGGAGAAATCCGCCGCATCTTCTTTGTTCACATCTGCTATGTTGAAGAGACAGAATTTATTGCTCTCTTTGAGAAAGGGATCACCTAGTTTGCTTCTCCTGCCCACTCTTCTGGCAGGTCATCCTGGTGGAATATTATATCACATCACACATATCTCTGAATAAAATAAAAGTCAATGAAGGAGAGCTGGAGGGAGAGAATCAGCTGAGAGGCACTAGGAATACTTGCTAATAAGAGAGAGTGGCTGATAAGTGGCACATCCCAGACCAGTTCTCTGTCTCCTGTCTCCTTGTAGCTTGTCCTCCATGACCACAGTGAGCAGGTGTTCTGCTCCCAGCTTTTCTATTTTGATCTCTGTGCACATTGGCATAGGATTATGGTTTAACTAACACTGAAAGAGTTCTCTGTTTTCTTAACGAGTTTTCAAAAGTACATTTGATGTGTCTTTTTTTCTGTTTTCCAGTTTCCATTTCTGGAGGAAGCATTCCTCCCTCCCTACTCGTGCATGCAAACCTTAATTATTTCTCTTTATTTTCCAAGCACTATGAATGTTTAAAACATGATACCTATGGACATCCTACATTTAGTCTAGTTTTACCTCTTTAAATCCCACACTCTGCCTAATGTCCAGATGAAGCTAATAACCATCAGTGCTTCAGTTTTCTTTGTACTAAACAAGTAGAATATCTGCATTTACGTATGGTTATAGTTCTCCCCAAGCTGTACTATTTCATGGTTGAAGCATGTGTAGAGTCTCTTTTTGTGAGTTTTTTGGAGGGAGGGGGATGGCATGAGCAGGAGGCAGTTTAGTTAAGAGCATAGTTAGGGTTCCAATTCTGGCTTTTCTACTGTAACCTTTTATACAGTTACTCAACCTTTCTGCATATCATTTCCTCATTGGTAAAAAGGGGTGATGATACCATGCTAAGTTGTGAAGATTCAATAAGATGGTGTCATTGAAATACTTAGCACCATATCTGACACACAGAATGATAAAAATAAAATCATAAAAATGATAGCTATATAATGCTAATAATGTTATTATTAATATAAGAGTGATAATTTATAACTGAATTTTTTCTTTCTTTTTTTTTTTTTCCTTTTTGTCTTTTTTCGTGACCGGCAACCCTCAGTGTCACGCCTGGACCGGACCGGGACCGGCAACGGTATCGCAACCCTCGGTGTTGCGCCCGCACCTCGCTCAGCCAGTGAGCGGCTGGTCTGTACGTGGGATCCGAACCCTCGGCGGGAGTGCCGCCGCGCTCCCAAGCGGTGCACTGTAGCAGTACGCCACTGGGCCGGCCCTAACTGAATTTTTTCTTAATATCATACTGTATGAAGAATTCTTTCCACTTCTTGCTTCAAGAAGTGGCCTGTTGTGTTTGTTTTATCACATTTTGAAAGAATGCTTTCATGACCTTGTAGCTTTTTCTGCTACATATTATCCTTCTTTCATGGATTTCCAGAAAAATCAGAATCTTTACCTTCCCTAGATCTGCACTATCAAATACAGTAGCCACTAGCCACATGTGTCTATTTAAATTTAATAAAAGTTAAATACAATTAAAAATGCAGTAGCACGTTTCAAGTGCTGAGTAGCCATGTGTGGCTAATGTGTACCCATTGAACAAATTGGATATAGAACATTTTTGTTATCACAGAATGCTGGACAGCACTGCTTTAGATATTAGTGGTCTCTGCTCTTTTCTCAGAAATCAAAGAGGATGCATTTTCTAGGGTGTTTCAGAGACTATTCTCTTAATGTTTCAGGGCTCTGAACATCCATTTTGATGATTCAGATTACTTTTCTTCTTCCAGCTCCTTAGTGTCATAGGCGTCTTTTGTTTAGTTTTGTTTTTTGGTGGCTGGCTGGTACAGGGATCCGAACCCTTGACCTTGGTGTTGCAACACTGCACTCTAACCAACTGAGCTAACCAGCCAGCCTTCATTAGTGTTTTTTGGAATAAATACAGGCATTTTCACTTCCCCCGAGAAGATATTATTACCATAATTTTTAAAGTTCCCATTCAACAGTGAAAGGAAGCTAAAAGTAGAAGTAATTTTAGCAGATATTCTTTTTTTTTTTTTTTTTTTTTTTTTTTTTGTCTTTTTTCGTGTCCGGCAACGGATCGCAACCCTCAGTGTCACACCCGTACCAGACCGGGACCAGCAACGGGATCGCAAACCTCGGTGCCGTGTCGGCGCACTGTAGCAGTGCGCCACCGGGCCAGCCCTTTAGCAGATATTCTGTAGAGTAGCTACTCAGATTATAAACAGTAGAATCTTCAGGGACTAGTAACAGGACATTATAATGTCCTTTTTATGAGTAAATTGTATTACTCGGGATCTGAGTTTTTTCTGTGAGAAAGGTAGTGAACGGCAATATTTTTTAAATAATCTTTATCTGCATTATACACTTTTAAAGGTATTTTTTCATTTGTTCTTTACAACAACGCAGTGAAACAAGTAACATTGGGATAATCATTCCCATTTTACTGATAAGAAAAATGGGGTTCAGTGTAGTTAACTTACTTGCCTAAAGTCTTTTTTTTTTTTTTTTTTTTTTTAACTTGCCTAACGTCTTAAAGAGAAAATAGTCTTTAAGGGGAAATAGACTTGAGATTCAAACCAGGATAAAATTTTAATTTCAAATTCAGCATTTTTCATTTTGCTTTTATTTTGTTTTGTTTTACTTTACCACTACTCAGACTATGGTAAGGGAAGAAGAGTGAAAATTCTTTAGGGGAACCAAAATACCCTCAAAGAATTGGACAGTCTCATTAATTCTGTGACCATGTGCTTGGGCTGCTGTAAGAAAATACACAGACTGAGTGGCTTAAACAATAAAAATTTATATTGCTACAGTTCTGGGGGCTGGAAGTTCAAGATCAAGATGCCAGCAAGACTGGCTTTTGGTGAGGTATCTCTCCTTGGTTTGCAGATTAAATCTTCTCTCTGTGTCCTTTTGCTGTGGACAGAAGAGAGATATTTCTTGTGTCTTTTCCTCTTTTTAAGTATACCAATTCTGTCAGATTAGGGCCCCATCCTTATGACTTCATTTAACTTTAATTACCTCTTTAAAAGCCCTGTCTTCACATACAGTCACATTGGGGGTGAGGGCTTCAACATATGACATGGGAATTCGGCGGGGAGGGGAATACAGTTCAGTCCATAATACCATGTTAATGGGTTTTTAATATCTTTTGATTTTCATACTTAACCCAATTAGTTGGAACTATGTTTATATTCAATGTTTGGATGGAAACAAATGTAGCAAATATCTGTATTCTTTATTTCAATGAATATAGAGGCTTAGTTAAATCAAACCTGTGGTACTTGCTGTGATGTACCTTCCCTGAGATAGTCGAATAGCAAAAAATTTGTATCTAAATGTCTACTTTTCTTATAATGTAGCCTAATTTGTTAATAATTAAAGGTCTTAGAACTTTACAGGGTAATAAGTGTCCTCCCCCATTTTACAGATGGAGAAATTAACATATAGAGAAACTGACTTGTCAGAGGTCAGAGCAAGGTGTTGGTGGAACCAGGGATAAATCTGAAACCTCTTAACTCCTTGACCGGTTTTGAGTCCATTGACTATGCAGCCTAGTGGTAAGTATCTTTTTACCCTATCCTTGAGGTAAGAGGGTTAAAGAGACCTAGCAAAGACTGAATTTAAGAATTCCTCATTACTAATGAGGCACCTCATTGTCCTTTTCTTTATAGCCATGATATCATTTTTGTCATTAGTACGAATATTCCAGGTTGGGAGAAGGGGTTGGATGTTTTGCTTTTTAAAGTTTGGCCATATTAGAGATTATTATTAAGGAAGGAAAGAAAGAAAAACATATTATTTAATGTATTTGTTCTCTGAATTAGGCATAATGCTAGACACTTTATCCTACTTAAGTGTCACTAAAACTTATAGCCATTTCTAGAAAGATATGTTTGCCATTTTTATAGTGACTTTTTAATAGTATCGGTTGAATTTATTAGAAAAAAATATAAACATCAGGATCTAGATTCTAAATCATATTTGAGTTTTATGGAAATTAGGAATCTTATCAAAAAAAGAGAAAATTTCTTTATGTTTAAGCATAGGATTCTAGTTCACTGTGTCTTATCCCTTTTTTATTCTTTGCTTAGCGATGATTTGTATGGGATTAAGTCAAGCTTGCTCTTTTACTTGACACTGAAATTATAGTTTCTCGAAAGCCTGTTCTGCCATGACATCTGAAATAGTTAGGATTCTTTTAATTACTAGGGAAGTTGAACAACCAAGCCACATGGAAATAAAGAATGGATTGGGCCTCTAGATCCAAGGACCCATAAGCCATTAGTATATTCACTCCTCCATCTCTCACCTCTGCTCTTCTCTGCCCATTGGCTTCTTCTTGTTTATTGTAGATCTGCTTTCTCCATTATAGTAAAAAATATGGCCACTGATATTGACCACTTTTTACTTCTCTTATCACACACTCTTACATGCCTTATGCCCCACCACACTGAACTGCAGTTGTCCAACATGGCACTGTCCAGTAGAAATACAATGCAAACCACATAGACAGTTTAAAATTTTCCAGTAGCCACATTTAAAAAAGTAAAAAGAAACAGGGGTGGACTGGCCAGTTAGTTCACATGATTAGAGCATGGTGCTGGTAACACCAAGGTCAAGGGTTCAGATCCCTGTACTGGCCAGCCACCAAAAAAAAAGGGAAGGGAAATTAACTTAATAATATATTTTATTTAATCTAGCATATCTAAAATATTATTTTGACATGTAACCAATATAAAAATATATAATGAAAAAATCTTAGAAATCTGGTGTGTGGTTTACACTTATAGCACATCTCAATTCAGATACTAAGTTTTATCAGAAATACTTGATCTGTATTTAGATTTCAAAAAATTTGTAGTTGAAAAAGTAGATTCACATACCCAGTTTTGTTCCAAATATACCTAAAAGTTTTCTCAGTAACTGCACTGAGCACTGAGTTTAGTTTTTAAAATTTAATTTAATACAAATTAAACAAGATTAAGTATTCACTTCCTCAGTCACATCTCAAGTGCTCAATAGCTGCATGTGGCTAGTAGCTACCATATGGGACAGAGCAGCTCTAATATAGTACTTTATGGCATCATTTCTTTCTTTACATTATTCCCTCTCTGTGGTATATTTTTCGCATTGCACCTTCCCCAAGACTCAATTCAAATGTCATCTTTTCCATAAAGTCATTTCTTCCCATTCCTTGACTGGCTCCTCCCCTCTCCTGTTCCTTCTGAGCCTTCATACCTACTTTTAATGTAGCGTCTATAATACTTTATCACATTTATTTGTGTATCTTTCTCACTTTTCAAGACTGAAGAGAGAGTTCCTTATTATTTTTTGAAACCTAGCACAGGGCTGGAACCTATATGTAATCAAAGAATTTTTGCTTAAAATACAAATGAGTGTCATTTCAGTATGGAAATAACAATGGTTTAGAGGGTTATTTTATAAATAGTAAGTTGGAAATGGAATTTGAATGTCAAATTGAACAAGATTTAATAGGGGGCTGGCCTGTTAGCTCAGTTGGTTAGAGTGCGGTAGGAAATGATCCACTGCCTTTTAAATCTATGACATTGCATTTTTTCATTTGTTTCATTGACCTAGATATGTGAAATACAAAGGAGAATAAGATGTAATCTATACTGATAAGTAGTTCATAATCAGGATATATACATGTGCTCAAGCAGGAATACACACACACACACAAGATTTGGATACATTGCTGCTCTCTTAGCCTCCATAATATTGTTTGGTACTTAGTAAAGAATTTCAAAGTTGAATAGGATCTTAGAAGTTTATCTAGTTCACTCCCTTTCTAACCCATGAGTTCTCTCTCAGGTTGGAAAAGTTTCAGCCATTTTGGGTGACAAATGGTCATCCAGCATTTCTGCTTATACATTTTAGGGGATGAATAATCCATCTTCCACGGGACAGTTTCCATTGCCAGAAAGTCTCTCTCACATCTGCCTCCCTGGAATTAATGCTTTTTCAAATGCAATCAAAACAGACCACATTTTGTGAAATCTCTGGTGAGCACCCCAATAGTATGTAAGCTGAAGCAGGGATTTTTTTTTATCTGTTTTGTTCGGTGATATATCTCCAGTGCCGAGAATCATGACTGACAAATAGCAGATAATGAATATTCGTTGAATGAATTAATCTACATAAGCAGGCTTTAGGGAATTACTTTAATTCAGTTTTTTATTTGTGGATTTACACTCTTTGTGGACGATTACTATCTGTCTTTCATTGCTGTTGCCTGACCAATCCTTCCCCTCCATGGCACTTAAACTTACTGCGCCCCAGATTCCTCATTTGTAAAAAGATATTGATAATATTGAAATGATATATGTGAAAATGCTGTACCAGCCAGCCACTAGGAAAAAAAAAAACATAACACCAATGACAACAGTTTGGAACCTCATACTGACCAGCCACAAAAAAGGCCCCAAAACTATGAAAATGCCTGACACTGGGCCTGGTGTTATGGTAATTGTAGGTATAAGTTGAATTTGAAATGGAAACAGTGCAGCAGCCCCTGAGCTTGCTTCCACCCTGATATCCCAGAAATTCAAGTTCACTTTTTAAAATTAATTAATTAAAAAAATTATAATAAATATACAGAACATAAAATCTACCACTTTAACAGTTTTTAAGTGTACAGTTCAGTGACATTAAGGACATTCATATTGTTGTGCAACCATCACCATCATCCATCTCTAGAACTTTTTTCATCTTGCAAAACTGAAATCTGTACCCATTTAACAATAGCAGTTTCATTTTTAATATTAGCATAGGTAAAGCTTAATTCAAATAGTGAATCTGTAGTGGAAAAAAATAACATATTCTGAAACTAAATACAAATAACTTTTATATTACCTGCAGTTTTAGATTATCTGTTTTGTTATTCTTCATTAACATGAATAATTGATATCTAACCTTAGTTGCTTCTATATGTAAATATCAAAGAACTCTGTCACAGTTGTTTTGATGAGAACATGCATTGAAATATTGACTTCTTAATATGTATAATTTTTCTCTTATTGCATAACTGTTTCTGAGTTTGGTAGAAAGACAAATTTTTGTGTGTTTTGTTTTTCTTTTTGACTGCTTGCTGTGTGCCAAGATCCAGGAATACAAAATGGCTTAGTAGTAGTTAGCTCCGACATTGTGACAGGCATAAAGGTAGGAAGTATAGCTAGTACTCTGCTTGGTGGGTGTTACCAGAAAGCTATAACATTTGTCCTGTACCTTGAAAAATAAATAGGAATCTTCTAAATAGAGAAAAGGAAAAGGTCCAGAGGTATGAAGGAGTATTGTGTGTTTGGATAGGTTTGAATACATTTAAGGGCTTGATCCTTGAAGACTTTTAATTGTGGACAGTGACATGTTTTATCCGTATTTTAGAAAAATAATGCTGATGTATGGATTGGAAAAGAGTGAGACTAGACACAGGAATTAAGTAACTTTTTCTTGGTCAAGGTGAGAGATAATGAAATTTTTAACTCAGAATAGTAGCAGAGCAGATGGAAGAGAGGAAGCGGTCATTTTAGAGGTGGGACTGACAGAATTGGATAACTGATAGGATTTGGATGGCAACAGAGAGCAGAGAATTAAGGGGAATTCCAAGTTTCTGATTTGTTACTGCTAACTGGGATAGGGATTATTTATAAGCGAAGAAAGATATTGTCCAGGAAAAAGGAATAAAACTGGTTGTTAAATAGTAATTACATATCATAATATACTCTAAAACATGGCCATTATTCTTAGAATGCTTTGAAAAATTATAGGTGACTAGCTCCTTTTTGTGTGTGAAATTCTATTAGATACTGTATTCTCTTTATTTAGGAAGTGATACAGTGGCAGTTACTTAATCCACTGATTTTTTTATGGCAATACTTTATAAATTTTGTAATGTAGTCGTTCCCTCCTTTTCTTCCTTGTGTGCTATTTTCCAGATTCCTCTAGTTTGTGCCAGGAGTTCACAATATTTCTCCTCAGAAGTTACTTTTTCATTGTCTTGAGTTGAACCTTATTTGATGCCTTTCTGCCCAATTGTTTGTTATTTTGTTCATTTTGCCTCACCATTGAGTCTGACTTTTGTTCCTTCTTTTCACTGGAATTTTTTTTTTGAAATTGCATTGATTGCCTTTTTTTTTTTGATTGGTAAGGGGATCGCAACCCTCAGCACCACGCTCAGCCAGTGAGCACACCGGCCATCCCTATATGGGATCCGAACCCGTGGCCTCAGCGCTACCAGCACCGCACTCTCCTGAGTGAGCCACGGGGCTGGCCCTTGATTGCTTTTGAATATTGTTTTATTGATGTTCTTATAGTCTGGTTTCTATTTATCATGGCTTCCTTGAATCAGTTTTGTGTATACTGGTAGCTCATCCTTACTTAAACAATATACAACTAAAAGCTTGTATATAAATGGAATATATATATATATACATATATAATGCTTAATTTTTAAGAATACATACTTTCTAATTATAAAAAATTGTGAACAATTTTAAGCTTAAATTTAATTATGATCCCCCAATATCTTTTGTCTCTGTCAGTAAGTTTCAAGCCTGATCTAGTTTCTAATCTCTATTAATGATTTGGAGGAGACAGACATGGCCAGATTCTAGAAAGACAGGGGACATCAAACTAGGAGAGAAGGCAAACACGTGGAGTGGGACACTGGCCAATGTGGCTGAGTGTAATGGAAAATGGAGAAGTCATAACAGACAAGATTACAGAAGTGGCAGGAGCCAGATCCTGCATGGCTTTGTAAGGCACCCTTAACTCAGTGGGAGGCTATTGGAGGTCCTTAAGCAGAGGAATGACATGATCAGTTTTATGTTTTAAATGCTCACTTTGACTCTGTAAGAGAAACAGAAACAATAAGAGAATGATAGATGGATGGATTTATTATGGGAGTTGGCTCACGTGATTATGGAGGCTAAGTCTCTTGACGTACTGTCTCTAAACTGGTGAATTTAGTCCAAGTCTGAAAGCCTAAGAACCAGGGGAGTTGATGGTGTAACTCCCACTCAGGGTCTAAAGGCCTGCAAACCAGTGAGGAAGGGGGAGGGCACTGGTGTAAGTCCTGGAGTCCGAGGTGGAGCTCCAGTGCTTAAGGGCAGGAGATGGGTGTCCCAGCTAAAGAAACCAAAGAGAATTCGCCCTTCGTCCACCTTTTCGTTCTATTTGAGCCCTCAGTGGATTGGATGATGCCTACCAACACTGGTGAAAGCAAACTTCTTTTCTCATTCTACAGATTCAAATGTTAATCTCTTCTAGAAACAAACTAGGCAAATTTGACAAAAAAAAAAAAAAAAACAGTGGGAGGGAGTTAAGAGTATCAGGGAATGATTTTAATGAAAGACCTTGGAATCTGAGCTGCGTAAGAAGAGAAGTGAAGACACAATGGGTGAGAAAGTGGTAGAGTCAGTAGCTGAATCTAAATTTTCAAACAAGGAAAATACATTCCCATTGTATAGTAATGTATCCTCTTTATAAAAAAAATTGAAAATATATATGATTAGAAAATAGAAAGGGAGGAATCCAGTACCACCACCCAAAGACAACCAATTGTTTATATTTCCATGTTTACTTCCGTCTTTTTCTAGGGATAATTTTGGGGAGTTGTATTAGTTTGTTAGGGCTGTTACAACAAAGACCACAGACATGGTGGTTTAAACAACATAAATTAATTTTTTCACAGTTCTGGAGGCTAGAAGTCCAAGATCAAGGTGTCAGCAATATTGGTTTCCTCTGAGGAATCTCTCCTTGTCATATAGATGGCCACCTTCTCCCTATGTCTTTACATCGTCTTTTCTCTGTACTTGTCTATGTCCAAATTTCCTTTTCTTATAAGTTATTTTGAATTAGGAGCCACTGTAATGATCTCATTTTTACTTAATTACCTTTTTAAAGACTCTATCTCCAAATATAGTCACAGTCTGAGGTACTACGGAATAAGGACTTCAACATGAAATTTTAAAGGACACAATTCAGCCCATAGTAGGGGTGCTCATTGTTCTCAGTTTTTTACCTGGTTTTGATTTTTCATGAATGTAATTTTTGTTCCCATATTTTACCTATTAACATTATAAATTAAACATTTTCCCTTTTGTTCTTTAGCCTTTGTAAAAATTTTAACAGGTGCAAAATACTTTGTCAAGTGATTGTATTGTCAAATCTTAATCAGCCTTCTGTTTTGAACATTTAGGTGTTTCTTCTGCCCTTTTGTTACTATAAACAGTGCTAAAGCTTTTTAAATAAGACCTTTTTTCTCTATTTTGGATTACTTCCTTAGAATAGAATCTCAGAAGTGAATTTCTGTATTAAAAACTATTAATACATACTGCCAAATTGTAGAAGTATTAAATCTTGTATTTTCTTTACACGTGACTATTTTCTCTTTTCCTGCAGTAATAGATTGGAATGATAGAAAACACAAATATGGTCACCTGTCAGATTCTGCATCCCAATATCAAGGTAAGGAAAAAAAAAAACTCTATTTAGCATGTAAACTTTTTATTTGGTATCTCTTACCATAAAACCTTTGTTCTTAGAGGTCTGAGTTTACAGTCAATTCTTGGTTAAAGAAAAAGCAAATATTATCATTTATAGAGGCGTCTGTCAAAAGCAATGTTTTGTTTTGAGCTGGAGACCAGAAAACTTACGTTCTGAGTATAAATAATTTCAAATTGGCTTCATAGTTTTAGACCCAGTTGCTTAGCTTCTCTGGATTTCCATAGTTTTTATGAGTTTAGGCATGGGAATAAGGCAAAATAAATTGGGTAGTGTGCTTCCATAACTATTACTAATAAACTCAGTATGTTTTAAAATGAGAAAATTGGACTAGACAAACTCTCAAGCCCCTATTTTACTCCAGAATTTCACCTTTCTATCATTTTGGTATGTTTGTCATGATAACTTATACTATAACATTTTTTTTCTTTAATAGAAGCTGCTGACATCCTGGAGCTAGGTAAGATATTTTTCTTGCGTTTCTGTTGAATAAGGGTAATTACTAAACCAGGGATTACATTGGAACCAGTTTTAATCAACTAGGAAAAGACTTCCATGTATCTATATCTCATAAACCAGTGAATCCTGTGCTCTTGTCTGCCTAATTAACCCATGTAATTCATCTCAGTTGTCTTGTCAAGTCCTCCTTGTCAGGAGTCCACAGACCAGGCTAACAGAAAGGTAGGGGATGTGGTTAATTACATTGCGTGCAGGGAGGAATAGGGACTGAACCAAACTGGAAGTAACTTCTTAATTCACTGAATCCAAAACTGAAACAAACCCCCACCTTCCATAAATCAGAGTTTAGTGGGATCTTCCCAAAAGAAATTAATGATAAAATAAGTTGAACTGAAATTAAACCTAAAAATTTTCTAAATTGTTTAACTAAATGAAAACTGAAAAATTAAAATATTACCAAGTAACAAGTCAGACTGATATTGCACTTGGTTTTTATCCCTGCTATACTTCGGGACTAGGATTGAGGAATAAAACTAATACTAACATTTCTCAATCAGCTTCCAAGTTTTCTGCATAAACATTAGTTTTAATGTTTTAGAGTCCTTAAATCCTTCTACATGTTACATAATATTGATATCCTGATAACTTTATCAATTTTTGTTCAAGTGTTTTGGTGTATTTTGTTACTGCAACTTCATGTGTTCAGCTCTATCTATTATTGTCAATTTGCTTCCTCTTGCCTTTTCTCCTTATAACGTATTACTTTCCATTGCCCACTGACACAGAAGATAACATAAAATAGTAGAATACCAGATTAGGAGTCAGAACTTCTGGTTTTTTTGAGAGCCAACTCTGACCTTTAGTTTTCTGATTTGTGAAATGGGGATAATAATCCCATTCTGCCTGCTTCACAGAGTTGTTTGTGAAGATTACATGACATAATGGATGTGAAAACATCTTAAAAACTCTCAAATACTTTTCAACTTTGAAGGATTATTATGATTTTCATTCTGTTCAGCAGCTATACTCAGACTGTACTCTAAGTCAAATCTTCTGACATTCTTTGAAGTGAAGCATTCTTATGAATGTGAGCTGAAGAAATGAATGAAATGAGATAATGCAGGTAAAAGTGCCTGGCACTTGGTAAACAAATGAGTTATTTTTATTATTCCTTAAAACTTTCCTCAAGCTTTCTAAGGTGTTTATGTGTGGTGGAAAAAGAATGGATGTAGGAGACAGACAGGCCTTGGTTCAAATTCCTATTCTCACCAGTTTTGTTACTTATGGCAAATCACTTTATCTTTCTGAGCCTATTCCCTCATCTTTAAAATGGGAATAAAACCTACTTTGCAGGTTATAATGAACATGGGCAATACTGAGCATAGCCTGGCACAATGCAGGCAAATGGAAGACACTCAGTAATAGCTGCTGCTGTTTTTACTTTTGTCTCTAATATGAATGACAGTAGCAATTGTAGTTCAATAACAACTTAAGGTCTTGTAAACAACCTGTTGGCTGACAGAGAGTTGTAAAACAGGGATACTCAGTTTCCATAAAGTAATATAAGTTATTAAGTGATGTTAAAATTTGAGAACATATTTTTCCTCATGAGAATGTTGGTAGCACAGGTATCTCCTCAGATATAAGTTAATCTTACATATTTCATTTTTCCCATCGAGCATAGCGAGTAGCCCCAAATATCAAAATGAAATAAAATCCAATAGGTTTGTGGAATCACAGAGTTGAAAAAGACCTTAAAATAATTTACACTAGCCCAGCATTTCAAAATCCAACATTTTAAATTTCTTATAAAGTGTCTTATCCTGAACTCTTCAAGTTGTTGGGGACTTTCAACTTCCCCAGGTAACTTACTTCATATTTAGACAGATATTTATTGGGCCAAGATTTATTTATTTATAATATCTATTAGTCATATTTCTAATATTTAGGGCCGCATGGAACAGGTTTAGCCTGTCTTTCACTTACTGCCCTTTGGTTATTCGAAAGTAGCTCTAGGGTTCTGCCTTCTCACTGCAACTCTGCTATGTTACTAGTTCAAGCCACCATCATCTCATACTTAGATTATTAGAACAGCTTCCTAACTAGTCTTCCTTCCTCCAGCTTTACCCACCTCCAGTACATTCTTCACATTGCAGCCAGAATGACACAGACCCTCCAATGCTTCCTCTTTTCATTAACCTGGTGTATGAGGCCTTTATCCACAACTTCTTTTCTAAACTACTTTTTCTTTAAACTCTACCCAGCAGCTATACCAAAAGATTCAGTTTTTAGAACTGCTTTTTCTCACTCTGGGGCTGTAAACATGCTTTTCTTTCTGTCTGAAACAAACAAAAAATGAGTTTCATTTCTCTTTGACTGGCTCCTACTTATCCTTTTACACTTTAGCTTAGAAGCCTAAAGGTTACCTCCTCTGGGAAGCCTTCCACAAACCCTCTAGGTGCTCCTGTAGTGCCTCTGTCTCTCCACGTGTAGCACTTATCACAGGATATTAAAATTGACTATTTAATTTCTGTCTCTAAGTATACTGAAGCTCTGTGATAGAAAGGATGATATTTTGATTATGGTTGTATCTCTAGCACCCAGCACAGTGCTTAGAAACACACTATGAGTGTTTATTGGATGGATAGGTGAGGAAATGGCTCTGAGACTGCTTTCTTACTCATGCTAAATGTTCATTGTTCCTTCAGCTGGTTCTTAGGTGATATCGTTTTAGATCTCTTTACCCTTAGGTCATCATTTAGAGTGATTTGCCCTCTCTCTCTCAAAGTATAGCTCCCAGAACTAAATTTAATACCCCCGATGTGATTTTACTAGTCCAGGAAAGAATAGGACCGTTATTTGTGTGTTTTCTTTGTTTTTTTCATTCACTCAAAAACCTTTATTGAGCTTCTATTAAGTTTCAGGCACTGTGTTAAACAGTGAAGATTTAAAAATGAATAAAAGATGGCCACTATCCTTAAAGAGTTTATGTAAATAATTATAATGATATGATGTGATGAGTATGAAAACAAAGGTATAAACAGGATGTTATAGGAAATAGGAAAATGGTAGACTTTGTTCTGGGAAGACAGGAAAATTCAGAAGACCTTGCACTGAAAGTAGCATTTTTGCTTAGCTTCAATCACTGGGTAGGAGTTATACAGACAAAGGTATGGGTCCAAGAAAGCCAAAAGTTTGTTTTAGGAAACTCTAAGGTCTTTCCTAGCTTGAATATTGTGATTCCGTATCTATGAAGCCTCCTAAATTTGACCTTTCTCATTTCGGGATACCTGCCTGGACCCTCCAAAAAACCTGTGATTTCATTTTCCTATTTAAGCCTCTATCTGTTGCCTGAAAGTCTATGTCCTTTCAGAGGTACCTGTGGTGTAGTGAAAAGAACACTGGACTTTCTCTAAATGCTTTATTTCTATTAAATAAAAATACCTCAAGTGACCTTTTCATCCTTTTATTTCTTAGAGAGGAAATTACATGAAAATGTTACTGCAGCAGTATCACTCAGTTGAAACTATCATTTTTACCAAACTGCTCCAACATTGAGACATTTGATGAGACTATACATATTAAATCACTCTTACTCTTCTGTGCATGTATTTTTAAAACCAAAAACCAGATGGCAGAAATGTATACTAATGAAGTCATTGTATTGATGTTGGAAGCTGAGCTTCTACTTGAAACTTTCTTTTTCAGCTGGGGTGTTTGATGAGCTCTTTGCTTTTAGCTAGGAGGTTGTCTCATGGTATATTTAGAAGGATACTAATAATATAATTCAGTTCCTGTTATTTGTTTCCAGAAGTTCTTTGCGGGGGGGGGGGGGGGTTT